GACGAGGGTCGGAGGAAAAACACCCTCCCGAACCGCCCCCCAAAACGACCAGGGGGTCAGAGCGAACAGAGGACAGATCGATCAGGGACGTCGAGCCGAGAGGTTTAAAACCCTCCGCTTCGGGTGGGTCCACAAACTCAGGGTGAGTATGGTCGGTCGGGGGAACGCCTCTAGGCCACAAGGCAGGATTCATATCACAATTAACGAGTGCTTGAGACACTAGTGGAGCGGACAAGGAATAATCCGCATGATCCTTATTACACTCGCACTCACAGACGCGGTGCCTGAGAGTCTCAAGCGCCTTCAGACACCTGGGGCGCAGCTGCTGCTCCTCCGTGCCCGTCGGGAACTGGCGCGCGCGAGGCCACTGCGCACCAGCAGCCACGCACAGAGTCTGGCCAGCCTGGTCGCGATCCCCGTTCCGCGAGAATTTGGCAAACTCTCGGCGAACCCAATAGAGATCAGCACCTCCAGCGAGATCTTCAGCTCCCTCGTGCTCAGAAGCTCGAGACCAAAGCTGAGCGTGAAAATCAAGCATGACTTCTTCAAGCACGCCGCCACCATCCATGTCATCGCCAGAAAATCCACCCAGAGACGACGCGGAAATCTTCCACTCAGCAAAGCCACCCTGCTCTGGGCGCCACCAGGAAGTAGCTGAGGAGGGCTTCCAGCTCGCATCAAACAACGTGGCAATCACTGCAGACACTGGCCCCTTGACCAATCGCCATCGCCCTGACTGCCCAGCGATCTCCAGGCGACGAAGAACTTTAGGCCAGGATGTTTCCACTCTCTAATGAGATTCAGGATGAAGGCGCCAGACCGTAAGACACTCGGCCAGAAGCTGGCGTCCCAGCTCCAAGGCGGGGCCTTTCTGACCATACAGTATGGTTAATGTGCTGGTCAAGCACCTGCCCTCAACGGGCCTGCCCCTGCCGCGGCCGCCTGACGTCGAAGGCGAAGGGGCTGGTAGGGTGCAGGACCATGAACTTGATGTCCATATACGGGACGCGGAAACGCTCCAGTCTTCCACAGGCCCTGCGAGACCGTGCGGAGCCGCGCATGACGCCGAAAACGCTGCAGACGAGCAGCACGGCAAGCAACGTTCGCAACGCGTTGGGGGGACTTGCGAACCGTCCTCCGTCCACCGCCAGTAGCATCAACACCAAGGTCTACCGCCTCCAGACAATACTGAACTGGAATCGACTTACGACGGAGCTTCTTGGCCAACTTCTTGCCCAAGCTGGCCACGTTAGAAATGAGCATCGCCTTAGAAGAGACCACCAACCGCATAGTGTCCAAACCCTGCTTGAACTCAGTAGCAGACGTGACCATGCGAGTAGTTACCTTATTCTGCTGCCCCTTCTGAACGCAACACAGTATCGTCGACGAATGTCCAAAAGGTAATACAAATCCGCTCTGGGCTGAGCACGCTGCAGCAGCGGGCGCAGGAAGAGCTTGGCTGACCGCACCCCATGAGGGGAACCTGCCACCAACGACCGAGTCGGAAGGATGGCGTTGGACGCTCCCTTCTGGCCACGAAGAAAGCGAGGACCAGCACATAACTGCACCTCCAAGCATACCACTATGGGCGGGTAACCCAACTGCTGCGCAGCGCAGCCCAAAAGGACCCAAGACAGCGAGTCGTACAACTTCTCGAAGTCCAGCAGCAACGTGGCCACCGTGATGCCCAGCACCGTCGCCGCCTCGTCAAGGAGAGCCCTCAGGAGAGCGGCGCGTAAGGCGCTGCTGCCTGCAATAGCAGTGTCCCAGTGCGCCCCCAGACCTTCAGTCCACTCTGAGGTGGCACCATAGCGCAGGCGGCTCCAGATCTTCGCGGATTCAGCTAAGAGCTCAATGACCCTTTCCCCTCCCTTGGGTTTGGGAAGGAGGGCGCAAAATGTGCTAAGCAGCTGCGCTGGTCAGACTCCTTCCTGCTCAACTTGGCCAAGCAACCCCAAGAATTCCACCCGACCTTGGGGAGGGGCCCTTTGAAGACCACGAAGAGTAAGAGCATCGACACCTGAGGCCTTAGCAGGAGGCTTGGCCACTACACGCTCCAAAGACGCCAACTCCATGGGAGGCAAAGGGTCTTGCAGAGCCTCGCGATGCAACTGCTGAAGCACATGGGTGATGGCCTCAGCGTCGTCAACAGCGTCAGTCCACAAGGATCGCCAGACCTCCCGCTTGTCGCCCATGAACTCCGAAGGTTCCGAGATAACCTGCCCGCGACGAAAACTCTCATGCGCCGCGGGCTGAGGGTCACGAGCCATCGCATGAAGACGTCCAGGATGTTGACGCCACTGCTCAAGGGCACATTTGGTGAACTGGTGCTTGCCCTTCGTGAGAGAGCGAGCCTGCGCGCGATGGGCAAGCCTTTCCGTCAGATGTGGCCAGTCGTCGGGTTCGTCATGATTGGCCGAGGATATAATGGCAGACCAACAAAGCCAGCGATCACGCTCCTCCTGGCCAGATGTGCTAAACTACTCAGCAGTGTCTGATGATTGAAAATGAGCAACATGCCGCTGAAGCTGCTGAAAGCAATCGGACAGCTGCTTGGGGTCACGCCCATGCTTGGCCAACGACGCCGTCCGTAATACCAGCGTGTGCACTATGCCCCACTGCCCGCCCACTGGGTCAGAGAGATGAGCGCGGCGTGGGGCAGCCTGCGCTAACTGCCACTTGAGCAGGGGACCTGCTCCACGCAGAGGTTCGAAGTCCTCCTGCTGATGGTGGGCACTGAAGGCCATCTCCACATTGGTGATCCAGGTGTTGCACCTGCTGGCGAGCTGCGACGAGCTCGATACCTTAATGTCCCCAAGGAAGTGCTGCTTCAGCGTGCGTCGGCTGATCTCACCAAGCGGTGGAACAGCAATAGTACCTGAGGGCCAAGCCTCTTCGGGAAGATAGAACGAGACTGAGTTAGCCTCTGCTGCCGTGGCCGTAGCAGGTTTGTGAAGCAGGTCAAATTCAGCTTGAAGGTCTTCTGGGAGCTTCGCCCGACGTTGCGCAAGCCCTTCCCGCTTCTTAATCGAGGCTTTACTGCTTGGGTCCGCTGGTTTTTTGGGACGGCGAACGTTCGGGAAGGCTGGTGCCGCAACGAGGCGCTGATGCCACCACCTCTGTCTGGACCCAAGGATGCCGACCTGCAAGGCAATGTGCGTCTTCCACGGAACTGCCGCAAGCGATATGTGGTGCCTTGCTTGACCAAACCATAGTCGATCAATGTGCCTTGGGCCGCCTTGTCGCAGGTGGCCTTCGCGTCGGGCTACAAAATCTCGCCCTGCAACTTCGAAGGCCAACCTGAACGCAGAAATGCTGTAGGTTCCAGGTTCCAGCCGCCAACAACAATTCAGGGGTCGGCTAGCGCCGACAGCAAAGCCCCCAAGCTGATCAAATTAGACTGGTTGTGACCTGATATAGCTAGTCCAGGCCAGGGGTAAATGGCCACGATGACGACATTGTCGCTGCTAAGGTGCAGGAACATGGATGCAAACCCTCGGAATGGATCAGCCTTGCCATGCCTGACTGCAGCCTGGCGAATGCGTTGAAAGCTGGTGGAGGCCAGGTGCTTGCGGATAGCAATAAGCTCGCCGCCTGAGGAGCCTCCTTTGCCTGTCGCCTTACTGCCCGTGTAAGCAGTCTTCCACCCGTCAGCATCAAAGGTCTGGTCAACGCCGTCGGCAAACCTGGGCTGCAACACGCGCATCTCCACGAAGCACACCATGGCGAACGAGGCGGTGTTAAGAAACTTGCGAGCCTGTGGACCCCATTCTGAAAGATTACCATGCAGAAAAGAAAATGAACCATCATCTGCAGCAAGAGGAGCCACCAGGTCAGGCCGCCCAGAAAGCCCATGCAGCACTGGGAGCTGTGGGACTGGGGCCGCATCCTCCAAGAACTTCGAGTCCTCAGCAGCTGAGGGCACGTTCCTGAGACGCCCCCCTCCGTTAACCCTTGGGGACCGATCTGAAGCAGACGGGCGGAGGGGGTCTGCAGGGCGGCCAGGGATGTCAGGAGCGGCAGGCTGCTGCCCCTCGGCACCCTCAGTACCTGTGGGCACGGCGTCGGTGGAAACTGCCGCTTCCGCATCCAACATGTGATCCAGGTCATCGAAGGGTCATGGTTTGCGTCGTCCCAGCCAGACGCAAGACCCACAACCTCAGGCACCGATGCCATCTGAGTCGAGGACAGAGCAATCGAAGCACCCGTGGAAATCCCCCCCGTGCTGGAAGAGCATCCTGCTGACGCCTCCTGAGACCCACTCGTAGCAATCGAAGCACAGGTGGTATTCCTCGCAATACTGGCCGAACCCGAACTGGGCGCGGAAGCCGAGGCAGAACTGCCAGTAGCTGCAGCTCCTGTGGGCGAGGCGCTGTGACGATCAGGGGCTGAATCCCTGTGCCCCTCGCCCAAAGACGAAGAAGGCCGCGAACTTGCCGAAGAGCTCGCGCAGCCAGTCGTCCGACCGAGGGCAGGGGCGCAGGCCGCCTGACTGTCTCGGTCGGGCGACGCTGCAAGGTGGGGACGCCCGCAAAAAGGGAAGTACCACCTGGAAGCCACCCTGCACCCGCCGCTGCGGCGCCCGTGTGTCGAGGGTCTCCTGAGCTTCCATGCACGCAATCGCTTGCCGCTGCAGCTCCTCCTGCCACGAACCGTGATCTTCGGACTCCAAGTTCCGCAGCATCTGCAAATAGCGAGCTCGCTGGCTGCGCCGAGCGCGCCAAGCGAGCTCACAGATACGCCTGGCCATATCAAGAGCTGCAATGGCAGGATTCCCATGGCCTGCTGCAGCAGCTGCTTCTGAAACAAGCGGACTGAGCAAAGGATGAGACAACCACGTCGAGATGAAGGGAATGCAATGCCCTTTCCAGTGGGCCTCGTCCGAAGCCTCGATAGCTGAGCTAACATCAGGGATCCATCTGGCAGCGAAGGAGCGGAGGCTCCGCTCAAGCACTTCACGATGGTGAATCGCAGCTCGGCGCTGGGGATCCTGATCTTTAAGCTGAAGAATGCCCGACAAAGGCTGAGAGACGGGGAGGAAGTGAACCTCCTCCGCCTCAGTGAGGAACATGTCGCCATACTGCGGCGCAGGGCGCCCATCGTACAGCGTGACCTTGTAGAGGTTGGCTTGGTACGATTCCGGATCGAAGGCGAGCTCCTCCGCAGCGCTCATGAAGATGTCACCGTAGAAGGTCGACGGCAAGCCAGGGTAGGTAGGCCTGCTAAAGTCCCTGCTGCGCTGCTCGGGTAGTGTCACAGGACTCCTTGGCGGTGCGCCTGGCAGCAGCTCGAACTTCTTCAGGCCCGTCAGCGGCACCGGTTGAAGGAGCGCCGCCGCCGTCGCTCTCAGAGCCTGCGGCGGCTGTCCCACCAGGCTGAGCAGAAGCACTAGCGCCAGCGCCATCACCTGCGCTATCGCCACGCCTGCGCTTCGCTTGCATCCGCAAGGACACCTGCTTGGCCTCCGCTCGTAGAGCAGCGAGCTGCTCCACTGAAGAGCCGAGCGCCTTGGAGATCTCGGCCTTGATGCCAGCCGCAAGGTTGGTCTTGACTCGCTCCCACTCGCGAAAGTCCGCAGGGTCGAGGTCGAGGCCTTCCGTGCTGAACATCGGGCCGTCGACGATGGTGAGCCCTTCGACCTCGCTGTCTTCGCCAAGGAGCGTGGACAAGTTGAGCGACGATGCGCCTGCAGCAGCGGGTGGCGCCGCCGCTGGCTGAGGAAGCTGCTTCGCACAGGCCTCCTCCCACGAGCGCTTGGCCTCGACAGCAGCCGTGACCGCAAGGTCTTCAGCATCACGCGCCTCTTGCAGCCAGGCCTCCCCCTCCAAGACCTTGAGAGAGCAGCGCTCGAGCCAGGACTTGGCCCGACGGTGCGCCACCCCCATGGCTGAGACTTCCTCCTCGAGGAGCGGCTGCCGCGGTGCAGCAGGAGGCGGGGCTTCCTTCTTGGCGAGGAGCGCCTCCACAGCTGCCAGCTCCTCGGTGCCGTCGTCGCCAAGCTTGGCCCGCAGGGCCGCCATCGGATCGGCTGGCTGGGAGGAGGAGGAGGAGGAGGAGGAGGAGGAGGAGGAGGAGGAGGAGGAGGAGGAGGAGCAGGAGGAGCAGGAGGAGCAGGAGGAGCGAGCAGCAGCAGGAGGAGAGGGAGGGAGGGAGGGAGGGAGGGAATGAGGCAGGAGGAGAAGGAGGAGGAGGAGGAGGGGGAGGAGGAGGTGAGGAGGAGAGCGACGAAGGTGCACGGCGTCCTCCCGGGTGGACCCCACGCAGGCCGCCGGCGTGGCACACCGCCTGGAGGGAGAGCGCTCTCGCGCACCACCATATTATACGATGGGGCAGCTCGCGCGCGAAGGTCCGCACGGTCGACCGCCTCGACGACGATCACGATTTGACAACGAGAACAACGATAATGACGACAACCACGATAACGATATCGATATTGTTGTATCGTTGTCGCTGTGATCGTTGCGATCGTTGTTATCGTTATCGTTGTGATCGTGATCGTGGTGATCGTTGTTATCGTTGTGACCGTTTGTCGTTGTGATCTTTGTTATCGTTGCCGTTGTGATCGTTATCGTTGTTATCGCTGTGACCCTCGTGATCGTCGTTATCTTTGTGATCGTTGTTTTCGTCGCTCGCGCGAGGCGGGAACCCTGGAGAGATACGAGGCGAAGGGGAGGCGCTCCTTGGGCCAAACGCTGCCCCGCCCTCCTCACCCATCTTGCGAGCACGCCTCCCCTTTTCCGCACCAGCCGACGTGTCAGCAGGTCGGCCCAGACGCTGCGGCCGAGATCCTCTCTCAAGATGCGACCCCGTGGCGTGACGAAGACAGAAATCTCCAGCCTTAGGTCGGGCATGTCCCCCTACGGCGGATTTGGGACGAAGGCTACAAAATACTCCACACATGCCCCCAAATTGCCAACACAAATGTTTAAAAAGTCGTACCCTGACATTTTTTTCGCTATGTTTGTATACTCCTCTGGTAGAGGGACAGGCCGGACTTACCTCCAGCAATTCCCTGGATGAGGGTCTCGTCGTTCAGGCCCGCCGCCCCCCTGTGTGGGGCCACCAGGCTGCGCGGCTCAGGCTTTCCTGCTCCCTGCGCCAGCACCAGCCTTCAGCCTCCATTGCTATACCAGCTTTCAGCTTTCAGTCAATACCAGCTTTCAGCTTTCAGTATCAGCTTTCCTGCTCCCTGCTCCATATCGTCCTGTTGTAAAACGTTGTTCTCCTTGCGAGGGGGGGCCCAAAACCAGCCTGGCCACTGTCCCCGCAGCGCGTGGCCGGAATTTCTGGTGGGTCTGGGACACGTAGAAATCCGCCGACCCAGTTGGGGTGTGTGAGAGGCCCTTCGATGCGAGGCCAGCCCAACCCAAACAGAAGTACGCCAGCCTCCTTTGAATCGTCGTCGTTAAGAGAGATCGAACAAACAAGGGGGCGTCGAAAGGAAACCCCTTCCCTTTGTCCCTTCCCCGCCTGGGGAGGGGGGGATCCCGGGGGGAGGTGGTCCATGGGTGTCCCGGAGGGGTCCCAGAAGGGCCCTGCAGGGGTCGTGACCCCCAGGCGGTCCCCCCGGTGGAGAAGGAGGACAGGGGGTTGTCTCCCTGTCGGCAAGGGAGCTCATGACCCTCTCCCCGCCTCGGCCCGAGCTCCCGCCCCAGCCCCGGCCCCGGCACCGGCCCTGGACCCCGGCCCTGGCCAGGGCACCGGCACCGGCCTCAGCCCCGGCCTGGGCACCGGCCCAAGCCCCAGCCTGGTCCCCGGCCCCAGCCCCGGTCCCCCAGGACACAGACGGCTCGCCGCCTCCTCCTCCTCCTCCTCCTCCTCCTCCTCCTCCTCCTCCTCCTCCTCCTCCTCTCCTCCTCTCCTCCCTCCCCCCCCTCCCCCTCCCCCCTCCCCCTCCCCCTCCCCCTCCTTCTCCTCCCTCGTCCTCCTCTCCTCCTCTCCGCCTCCTCCTCTCCCTCCTCCTCCTCCTCCTCCTCCTCCTCCTCCTCCTCCTCCTCCTCCTCAACCACCACCGCCCGCCCCATGTCCTGATCCTGTGGCAGGGTCATAGACTCGTCGTTGTCGCTGTCGTCATGGTCGTCGTCGTCGTCCTTCTGGGTCGGCGGCACCGGTCGTAACGATTTCTCAATACGCAAGATTCGCGTCCCCGAGGCAATAGACCATTTAGCCAGATTCGCGTTCCCGAGGCCAAAATGCCTTGAATTAAACTAAAATCGCCCACCGAGGCAATTCTATACCGCTCGAAGCGAAACGTTCGTATGCGCCAGCGCGTTACTATGCTTTGGGGCGCAAAAACTGATATGGCTGCCTTTCCGCCGCAGCCGGACTTGACACAGTAGCGCTTTCGGTCCCAGCCTCGGCTGCGGTGACGCCAGGGGCGGGACGACGACGACGACGACGACGACGACGACGACGACGACGACGACGAAGACAAAGACGAGGACGACAGCGAAGACGACGTCGTTTTTTGTTGGATTCCACCCTTTCCAGAACTGTCGGCGGCCCCTGTGACCGTCAGAAGCAGTGCTCCTCATGCTCCTCCTTCTCTTCCTCCTCCTCCTCCTCCTGCTCCCCGACCTCCTCCTCCCCGTCATCCTGCTCATCCCCCTCCCCCTCCTCCTCCTCCTCCTCCTCCTCCTCCTCCTCCTCCTCCTCCTCCTCCTCCTTCTGGTGCTCGTCATCGCGGGCCTTGCCGTCTCTACCTCCTGCTTTTCCTGATGATCCTCCTCCTCCTCCTCCGCGTCCTCGTAGTCTTCCTCCTCCTCCTCCTCCTCCTTGCCCCCCTCTGGGAGCTGGTGATCCCACTCGGTGGGAGAGAAGGTCAGGCAAACATACAAGTTGAAAAACGGTTACCCCATCTGGTTGGCTAGAATGCCTGGGCGGGACGCCCAAGCAAACCAGAGGTGATCCTATTCAGCGGGGACTCTCTCGGGACCCGCTTGGGCATCTCTTGGAAGTCTCTTGGAGCCTTCTGCAATGCAACAAAGATGCAACACCGAAGATATGCAAAGAACAAAGAACTGCAATACAACAACATGTTTTCGTCTGGTCGTCAACGAATGTGCGCTTCAATCCTCCCTGAGCCTCCCCGAATCCACGCTTGGCTCTCACGCGGAATCCTGAGCTCAAGCTCGGGCAGCGCCACTTCAACGCAATACATTGCAATTCGAAAGAAACTGCGACGGGCAAAATAAACTACCTTGCAACTAACGAAAACTGTGTTCGTATGGTGGTGGCCGACATGTGCGTTTCAACAATCCCTGAGTCTCCGTAAACCACGCTTCGCTCTCAAGCGGAAACCTGAGCTCAAGCTCGAGCAGCGCCACTACAACACAAACAGAAAGCTGTCATGCACAAGAAACTGCAATGCAACAAACGCTGTAACGCAAACCTGTTTTCGTGTGGTGGTCGTCGACATGTGCGCTTCAACCCTTCCTGAGCCTCCCCAGACCACACTTGGCTCTCACGCGGAATCCTAAGCTCTAGCTTGAGCAGCGCCACCACAACGCAAAAACACGGGCAATGCAAAAAACATCCAATACCAAACTACGTCGTCGTCGCTGTCGTCCTTGTCCTCGTCCTTGGCTTCCTCGTCGTCGTCGTCGTCGTTGTCGTCGTCGTCGTCGTCGTCGTAGTCATCGTCCCGCCCCTGGCGTCGCCGCAGCCAGGGCTGGGACCGAAAGCGCTGCTGCGTCAAGTCCAAGGCGCTAGCGCATAAGAACTGTTCGCCTCGAGCGGCTTTGATCACGCTTGGCTTCCACGCGGAATCCTAAGCACAAGCTCAACCAGCGCCACTGCAGCGCAAACAAAAACTGCAATGCAACCAACAACTGCAATTCAACCACATACTGCAATGCCAGACAAAACACTGTTGTCGCGTGGTTGTCACCAACATATGCACTTCAACCATCCCTGAACCTCCCCGAAGCCACGCTTGGTTCTCACGCGGAATCCTAAGCTCAAGCTCGGGCAGCGCAACTACAGCACAAACAGAACGCTGCCATGCAAAACAACTACAATGCAAAAACAAACTGCAATTCAAAAACGAGCCGATTTTGGTGTGGTCGTCGCGAGCATGTGCGTTTCAACAATCCCTGAGTCTCCGTAAACCGTGCTTCGCTCTCAAGCGGAATCCTGAGCTCAAGCTCGAGCAGCGCCACTACAGCACAAACAGATAGCTGTCATGCAAAACGAACTGCAACGCAACAAACACTGAAGTGCAAAGCCAACTCTTTCGTGTGGTGGTCGCCGACATGTGAGCTCGCTTCAACCCTCTCTGAACCGCTCCGAACCACGGTTTGCTCTCACGCGGAATCCTGAGCTCAAGCTCGAGCAGCGCCACCACAGCGCAAACAAACTGCAAGGCAAAGCACAAGCTGCAATGCAAACCAAATGCAATGCGAAAAAATGGTTTCATGTGGTGGCCGCCGACGTGTGCGCTGTAACCCTCCCTGAGAATCTCAGATCCACGCTTGGCTCTCACGCGGGATCCTGAGCTCAAGCTCGAGCAGCGCCACTACAGCGCAAACAACGGCAGCGCAACAAAACATCTGGAACGCAAGCAAAAACTGGAATGTCCAACAGAACTGTTTGCGTGGGGGGGTCGCCGACATGTGCGCTTCAATCCTCCCTGAACCTCCCCAAAACACGCTTAGCTCTCACGCGGAGCGCTCCCGCTCGAGCAGCTAAGGTGAAGCTTCAATCTCAAGCTTTCAGCCTGCTGTTCTGAAGCTTGGCGCCCCGCCATGCGCTACAACGGCTTAGAACTTCATGTTCGTGTGGTGGTCGCCGACATGTGCGTTTAAACCCTCCCTGACCCCCCCCCGAAAAAAAAAAACAACGCTTCGCTCTCACACTGCCGGGGCAGCGCCACTGCAGCTCAAAC